ATTATTATTATTAATTGGATCTTCTTTACATGCTCAATCAATTTCCAACTTCAAAAGTTGATAGAAATCTTCTATTTCTTCCTCTTGGCTCTGGCGGTTGGTACATATATTTAATAATAGTGCTATTAATAGGTCTTCCTTGTATGTATATGGGTATTATCCTGTCATTCACAACATTGTATTTCAGGATGAATATAAAAATGATATTCTCTGTAAATGGGAATCCATTTTTCCTCACTTTTTCATTTCTGGTGTAATAGATCATACAATTGTCTGATTCAAAATGTTGCATGTCTATCCATCTCAGCTCATCTATGCCTAGTACCTTAATATTTATGTATTCCATTTCTTCTTTAACAATGTTCAATTTTTCTACATATATACTTTTCACGTTCTATATTCCAATCAGTTTGCAACTATTCCTTTTCATAATTGTTTCTTAATATGAAGGCTCAGCCTCCGATACCATATCTCCTAGACTAAGTGTGCTCTATTATTTATAGGGCTTTTGAAAGTCTGTTATTTCATAAATGAATGGCCAGTCCTTCTTCCTACTCTGTCTTAATTTGGATGTTCTGCTTTAGATCAACATCTGACATTCAAGCATTTTACTCAAAAGAAGACACAGAAGAATTTAATGATCCTTAATGGCACAGTGCCTAAATTATTGGACTGGTAACTGAGAGGCCAGCAGTTTGAATCCACCATCAGTTCCTCAGGAGAAAGATGGGCAGTCTCCTTCGCAAAAGTTTGCTGCCTTAGAAACACTGCAGAGGATTACTATAGGTCAGAAACAACTCAGTGGGAGTGGAATTAAATTCGTTTTCTTACTATCTAAGCCACTTTGACTTTTGTGCTTTGTTTGAGTAGCTTGTCTGTGACATGGTCAAAACTTAATAATTACTATCTAATTCTGATTGTCAAGAAGATGGTTCTTAGTATTCCTAAATTTAATTTTTCTGCCAAAAGCTTCATACTGGCTTTGTTTCACTTTTGTAAAGTTTTTACTGTCACCTCTGTGGTGATAATGGCCTATTGTTCAAAATGACTTCCCTCTCCATTAGCTTATTTTGCCATGTGAATGGGTAGGAACATGGGAGAAGGGTGAGTTCATCTATCTAGAAGGGGATCTAGCAGCAACATAGGAGAAACAGGCATACAGTGAAAGCCTGTCAGGACCAGTAATTATCTATCTATCTATCTATCTATCTATCTATCTATCTATCTATCTATCTATCTATTTTAGGATCAGTGATTCTTGTGCCGGCTAGAATTATAGAAGAAACACCAGCTAGACTTACAGCAGCAGCAGGAGTAGCCAAAACAGAGGACCAGAGACCTGACATGAGACACAGCTGATCTTGGCCCTGCTTTCCCTCAACAGAATGAGTGCTAAGAGCCTTTGCTGAAACTTTCTGGAGAGGGCCATGATTGGCAGGACTGAGAACTTTGTAACATCAGCCCAAAACTCAAGGCTAAGGCATCTATGAGCACATTTCAGTAGATGGCCTGACTCAATTCTACTTTTCTTTTTTTTGCGTTTTTTTCCTTTTTATTATTATTATTGTTAATTTTTAATGAAAGTTTACAGAGACTTTGGGTTTCCATTCATTCATTGTTGCGCTTTTCTTCCTGCCCAACCTGCTCCGCCCAACCCCAGTTTGCTCTTCTCTTTGAAAAGTAAAAGTCTTTCATTGTTATACAATCCCTCCTCCCCAAGTTCACTCCATTATGCAGCCTTCATTCTGGATTCCTGTCATGACAATAATACCTAATCATATATACCTTTTAAGCAGTTATTGCCCTCATCTGTTTCAGTGCAGTATATATAATTTATCCCATCTCACTCAGTCTTCTCCCAACCCCTATGTCAGTCCCATTTGACAACAATGGCACTATGCAGTATTTGTCCTTTTGCGATGGAGATATTTCACTCAGCATAATGTCCTCCAGGGTCACCAATTTTGTATAATATTTCATGAATTCCTTATTTTTCAATGCAGCGTAGTATTCCATTGTGTGAATATACCACAGCTTCTCTATCCATTTATTTGTTGATGAGCACTTAGGTTGTTTCCAGCTCTTTGCTATTGTGAACAAAGCTGCGATAAATATGGGTATGCATATATCTGCTTGGGTGGCGGTTATGGTTTCTTTAGAGTAAATTCCCAGAAGTGGAATTGCTGGGTCAAATGATATTTCTATTTGCTACTTTTTGAGAAAGTGCCATACTGCCTTCCACAGTGGTTGCACCATTTTACATTCCCACCAACAGTGAATAAGGGTTCCAGTTTCTCCACAACCTCGCCAGCATTTTTTGTTTGTGTATTCTTCTTCTAACCTGACTTGCAGCCTTTTGATTTCACCACTATGGCTCTGTGTGGTCTGTCAACTATTGTAATCAGACTTTAGAACCAGTAAAGCAGAAAAATTGGGTTTGGGATGAACAGAAAAAAGGACAGAGCTTTGGGGACATGTCTGACCTCATGGGAATTGATGTTTTTGATGGAGACAGTTTCCTATTGAGAAGTTGGTAAAGGTCAGATATTGCCATCCCATGCAACCTTGGTTCTTTTATACAACCTCTAATTGTAAATTTGCTAGGTCAATAGTATTTGTTTATTTTTTTCTAAATTGATTTTTCTCAGTTTGAAGCTACATGATTTTAAAATAATTTTTCTTAAAGCTTCATTTTTTCATTTCTCTGAGGAGAGACAAAACATCTGAAAGTATATTTTAATGAGAGCATACTTGAGTGAAACCAGTTTACTCATTAGAGGTAAGGCTTTTGAAGCTCCATTTAACATACTTTGGGCATGTTGCTAGGAGGGACCAGAGAAGAATATCATGCTTAAAAGGGCAGAGAGTCAGTATGGAAGAGGAAGACCAGTATAAAATGAATTAACACAGTAACAATGGCAGTGGGATCAAATGTGTCAGAGATGGTGAGGTTGGCTCAGGATAGGGCAATGTTCAGAGTGTTGCTATGAATTGTAGTTGACTCAGGGCACTTAATAACAACATGTTTTAATTGTTATTACTTACTTGATTTTATTTCAGGCCAGTCAGCTTGTTCTATTCTGTAGTCTTCATACTTTATATCCAAATATGCAAATATGTAGCGAATAATTTCTGCTCTGCCCCTCATGTTAAAATAAATGAGCTTGTAGTTTGGCATACTGTTGTTCTGAAAAGAGGAAAGGGAGGGATTAATTTAACAACATTATAAAGGTGTGTGATCATTTATATAACACACTTTGAGATAACTAGCAATAAAAAGAATATTTCAAACTAAAATTATAATAATGGAAATTATTGAACAATATCCTTGATATCACATGCAAGCAAGATTCTGCTGAAAATTATCCAAAAACGTTTGGAACAGTATGTCAACAGAGAACTGCCAGATGTGCAGGCTGGATTTGGAAGAGGTCATGGTACTAGGGATATTATAGCTAATGTTAGATGTATCTTGGCAGAAAGCAGAGAATACCAGAAGAATGTCTATCTGTGCTTCATTGACTATGCAAAGGCTTTTGACTGTGT